CCCTTGCCAGAGGACAGGCTGGGCCCCCCTCGTCCAGCACCCTTGGGACCTGACCAGTCCTCAGCCAGGGTGGGCCTCTAGGCTCCGAGTCGCTGGCCCCGCTTCCACTGACCCAGCTGGCCCCTGCCCCTCTGCTCCCAACACTGCTGCTGCTGGCCCCCTGCTGCCAGTTGGGCGGGCTCCCAACCCTGGCAGGGCCACTGGCCCTCCTGCTACCAGCCCACATGGACTGCTGGCCTGACAGTGCTTCCTGCCCCGTCAGGGCTCCAAAGCTGTCAGCCCTCCTGCTCTTGGACTCCCAGACAGGGGCGGATATAGGGCAGGGCGAACGGGGCGGTCGCCCCAGGCCCTACGCTTCAGAAAACCCCGCGCATGTGCCATGGCGTCACTGCGCATGCGCCGCGGCAAAGGGGGGGGGGCCCGCGGAATTATGCTGCCCGGGGCCCTGCAAAACGGTCATCTGCCCCTGCTCCCAGCCACCTGGTCTGGCAACATGTTCCTACCAACGAATCCCGGATTAGATCTAGCCAACCTGCACCTATTTATTCCCCAGATTGTGCTACTTATATGCTGCTTTAATATAAACCAGGGTTGGGGAACCTTTTTTGAGTGGGGGGGTGCTGACCTACAGAAAAATCAGTCAGGGGCCACACACAAGTGAGAAGTAAAGCCAGAAGCTCCTGACTGAGAAGGAGAAAGACACTCCCCACATTCCCCTTGCACACCAGAGCCTAGGAAGGTTCAGGCTAGTAGATTTTGTATTCTCCAGCCCCAGAGGTGAGTGGCAGGGGGGATGGAGCACCAGCACAGGTTCCCCAATGGTGAGCCTTGAGGGCTGGATCCAGGCAAACCAGGAGCCGCATCCTGCCCCTGTGCCTGATGTTCTTCATAGTTGTTGTAAACCGGTGGTCCCTAACATTTTGGGGCTACTGGGAGCCTGGGGGTAGCACTGCGCATGCGCCTGGCTCGAGCTGGCTCTGGTCACTAGGCAGGTGCACATAAATGCCCCAGCGGGCGCTGTGGTGCCCGTGGGCACCGTGTTGGGGACCACTGATGTAAACAATGAGGCTTGATGGGGCAGGCTCTTCTCTTGTGCAAGCTAAAGGTGTCCTTCATAATTTTGCAAATGGAGCTTTTAAAGTCTTTGCTCATTCTGCATTTTGGATGTACAACTGCAGAAAACTTTTTTTTTTTTTTAAAGGATCATATCAAATGGAGCTGTAATTATGAAATTTGCAGGCGAGCCCTGCAAAGCATTTAGGAAGTGTGATAGGTGCATTTTATAAATTCAAAACTAGATAACAAAAGTAATCTCCCTCCTGACAAATGTAAATTATACAAATATTTAGAATAAAGAGCTAAATCCCAATAACCATGTTACCAACTTTTTACATATGCTTTTTCTCTTTAAAGAAAAAGTGACTGAGGAATGTCTTTCCTATACTTTCAGTTGCACAGTTTAATATCTGTGTGCTGTTTAAAACGTGTTCTAACAAGTACATAACAGAAGACAGGGTAATAATTCTGAGACTGTTGGTAAACAAGAAAGAAGTAAGATATTGCTGTTAAGCTAAAGTGGTGTAATTCAGTGATTGCTTTAGTTATTATTGTAGAGCTCTTAATATGTCTGTTTTGTTTTAGGGTGAATAAACGAGAGATGAATGCCATCTGTAGCTTAAAGATAGCTGGTAGGAACCGCATTTTATTTCGCTTAACTTCTTTGGCCAGTAAGGCAAAGTGCAATAATCTTTATAGGTCTTCTATTGAAGGTTTGAATGTACATCGTCAGATTCAAATAAATCATAGAGTGGATAAATGCAAGCGATTAGATATAAGCAGCAACAACAGCTATTATTTTATGATTGGAAGCTCTAACTTCTACAGAAAATCTATTAATAAAAGCCAAAGATGTTTTTTGAATGCCAAGAATATAGAAGTGTGCACAAACATACACAGTAGCTGTCCTGGTTTCCTGGCCTCTCAGCTGATAGTGGAAGAGCTTGCATTATTCCGAAGTCTTGCTCCACTGCAGTCCCTAAATCCCATTGCTGCTTGGAATGTTCAGATCATCAGGCATTTTCACGCCTCATCATCACTTCAGGCTGCTCCAGTGCCTCTATTGTGGATTATCCTTAAACCAGTTCAGAAGCTATTTGCTATCATTCTCGGAAGGTAAAATTCTATTTTATTTTCTCTTATAAAGTAAGACCCTGTCCTTCAAAGACTCGCATATGTACACAGTGAGTAGTCTCTTTAACAGAACTATTCTGCGTGTGCTGAGTTGAACATTTGTGAAAAGCTTTGCAGGGCTTTTGGTTAGGGTTGGATGTATTTTCATTTTCAAAGCACAATAGAGTCCATACATCAATCAGACTAAAATGGTTATAACCTGTGAGGACCCCTTTCCTGTGATTTTTTTTGTTTGTTTTATTTTAGAAAATACACCTGTTTCGGATCATTACAGTCACCTAACAAAATAAACACTTGTTTTTTGCTGAGTATCCTCAATTGAGGATAATGGCCAGTGATACACTTGGCAAAGCCAAAATATCATGGCATCTGTCTACCATGTACTTCAAGTTTACTAGAGATGTGGTCCCAGGCGAAAACAGAAGCCAGGAACTTGGGCATACCTCAGCAGTCCTCTACAATAAGTAGGAGGGTAACAACATCTGCTGACAGAATTCTGACCTTGACTTCAGGCTGGAGATAAAGCGGGAGTTCTCACTCTCCCTGCCTACAGCCTACATTGAATTTACAAATGTATCACATGATTTAAGTTGAATTCTGAGTTTTCAGTTCCTGCATAAAAATAGGAATTAATTTTCTGCCACATGTGCATAATAAATTCAATATGTGCATTCTTTTTCATGTACTTATTTTTCATCAGCCCTTGCTGATGATGTCTTGCAAATCCATTCAAGGAGTAATGGGGAGAAAATTTTTTCCTTCAGATGTTCTTTAACAAATCCTAACATGCTATTTTTTAATAAGATAAAAAAGATAAAGGTTAGAATGTTTTCTATTAAAAAAGGAAGCATCTGTCAGCCTGTTCTTTGAAGAAAATACTGTGCTGGACTGACAGAATACATACTAAATGATTCTCTTGACTTTTTCATCCAAGGGTATCCTAGTACTTTACAAAGATTAAACTATACAGCCTCTTCTTGCTAGTTTGGGGCAGTATATTCACTTTACAAATGAATAATGTTTGTGTCTTGCAGGAGCATCAGAAAATGGTGGAAGGCACTGCCTCCTAACAAACAGGAACTATTTAAAGAAAGTGCAAGAAAAAACAAATGGAAGATAGTCCTAGCTCTTTGTAGCTTAGCACTTTTATTTATCGTGTTTTATTTTACTCACTTAGAGGAGACACCAATCACTGGGCGTGCTCGACTATTGGTGTTTGGGAATGAACATTTTAGAGCATTGTCACAGATGGAATATGATATGGTGAGTTGTTTGAAAGAAAATAAGCCCTCCACACCTGCACTAGGAATGTAAATGGTTAACCAGTGGGGGCTGGAGCAGCCACCTATCTGCCACATGAGGCAGCATCTTGTCCTGCAGCCTGCTTTCTTCTGTGCTCTCCCCTCATTGGCCTATGACTTTTTTGTACTAATATAGTCTAATATTCAACTACTTGATATAAATGGAAATATTACTTGGTAGCATATGTAAACATTCAATTTTATTACATCCAATACAAAACAAATAGAGTTGTGAAAAATGGAACTTTTGGTTTTTACATGGGTGATTGACTTGATACATAAGAGAAAAGCATATATGAGACTGGATTCTTACATATATGGTCAGGAACAAAACTTTTACTGTGGTACACTTATATACAATAGTAGTGTAACAGCTAGCCTACAAACTGCATTCTTTATTCTGTAAAGAAATCACGAATTGTCTTTTTTTTCAGTGGATGGACCAGTTTAAAAATAAAATGTTATCCGAGACAGACCCTCGCTATCAGGTAGTGAAAAAAATTGTTGGTCATCTGTCTGAAAGCAACCAGGACATCCCAGAGGTTTCAGAGTTTACGTGGGTTATCCATGTGGTGGAAGAACCAGGCATAAATGCTTTTGTACTTCCAGTAAGTAAAATCCAAAAGCAAAAGTAAGTAACAATATGTAAGAATGAGCTTGTTTGCCCAGTTCCTATGCTATATTATGTGTTTTTTATTTTTTTCCTCACAGAATGGACAAGTATTTGTTTTCACTGGTTTGCTAAATGCAGTGTCAGATATTCACCAGCTCTCTTTCATTTTGGGCCATGAAATAGCTCATGCTGTTTTGGGACATGCAGTAAGTACCCTTTAAACAGTCTCAGGCTGCTTCCACAAGCAGAATGAATAATTTGGTTTAAAGATTGATTGTTCTGATCATGTACACATTACTGTGCCATTTGAGTTAATGTTAGCAAAATACCTGCTAATGAATGTTAGCAGGATCAGTTCATAAGAGTGGCTTGCATTACATTACAAAATAGCAGTGAGGATTTGACGCTAAGAAATGCAGATGTTGGGAGTTGCAGGTGCTCAGCACTTTACAAAATAGGGCCTTTAGTCCTTCTACACATGTGGAATCCATAGATGTATTTAAAATGTCTTCTAAATTATATAGTACTTGCAGTGCAGTAGCAAAGCCCTACAATTCTATAGTCTTAGTTGAATAAGTTCATGAGGTCTGAAGTCGGACTTTGTTTGCAGATGAATGAGTGTGCTTGCAAACGTGAGCATGTACCCATCTTGTGCATATCCCAAGCTCTAATGTGTTCTTGATTAAAATTGGAAGTTCATCACCAATTTTTCATGTACAAAACGTGTATAATAATTTCACATTTTGCAGATCAAGCTTTAAAAAGCAGGTTAGTAATACAGATCTTGGCCCAAGTTATTCTACATAAAGATATGTTACTTCTCTGAACGGAAGAATCAAGTCAATGTAAGGTGGATCTGTACACAAAATAAATCCTCAGAACCAATCCTTTCTTTAAATGAAACCTCTGTACTTTCCTAGCCAGTCTCAAAACTTGTGAACTTTCAATGTAAATTCTTCATGAATAATCTTGGAAATTTTAGAATTAGATAAATAGCTCTTCAAAGCATTTGCAAACAAACTAGTTGATTTGTTTCAGATATACCTGTAAACATTTTTGTGTAAAAGAAGATGTGTGCTAGAAGTGCTTGTGATTTCTTGAACATTTAAAAATATTCATGACTAATTTTGTTTAGAAAAAGGAAACACAAGAACCAATATGACTTACGTCGGTGGTTTCCAATCTTTTTTTATACCGGGGATTGGCAAACCCATTCACAAATTATTGGCGGACCGGCAACTTTTATTTGCATATGCAAATAAAAGTTGCCGGTCCGCCAAAAGCCCTGACCGCAAGAACCCCTCAGTGCCAGCCCTAACCCCAAAAATTCCTGTGCCTCCACTATCCCCTAGCGCCAGCCACTGACCCCTAGAGTTTCTTGCACAGAGCCTCCTGCCCCGTAGACACCCACCTCCCCACACGAACACCAGACCTCCCTGTGCCAGCCTCCTGTTTCCAGAGCACCACTGCACCCAACCCTGTGCTAATTCCCCACCCTGGACACCCAAGTGCCTCCCAGTTTCAGCCCCCTGCCTCTTAGAGCTCCCCAGTATTCGCTTTACCCCAGGGCCTTCCAGTGCCTGCCCCACCCCCCTCACCTAGCCCTGCGCTGCCTCCTAGCTGCCAGCTGAGCATTGCTGCCCGTGTCGCAGCTGCCCTAAGGCTGCCGTGTCGGCCTCCACATGGCCCTCCTGCTGTGCAGCGAATCGCTCTTCCCTGGCTTGTTGGCTAAGAGGCAGTCTCCTAGTGCCCCGGTGGGAGCAGTGTACCCTGGCCCCCAAGAGCCTGGCAGTGGGCCTTCGCCCAGTGGTTGGGAACTGCTGACTTTGGTTATTAATTCTGGAAAACTGGTTACCTGATAGGCAGAGTTGTTCAGAGTGGTGATGTACTTAACCTCACTTCCATAAACATTCATTAAACAAATAAAAACATTGTGCCCTACTCAAGTGATTTGAATATGATCACAAACAGGGAAAAAAGCATAATTCATCTGAAATTTTCTACAAATGATTGTTCATGTCGATTCTAATTCAGGTGTACGCGCGCTGCATGCACAAACGTTGGAAACTTTTTTCCTAGCAGCTCCTGTAGGGTTGGCTGTGGAGACCCTAGAGTGGTGCTGCTACATCAGTACATATGTACCACTGCTGACCCTACCCTCCCTCAGTTCTTTCTTACTGTCCATGGTGATGTTGGAACTGTAGTTAGATTTTGCTTAGCAAGTGTCTAGTCCCTAGCTGTAGCTCTCATTTTGTTTGTTTTTTTTGTTTTTGGGTTTTTTTTGGTCTTTGCTTTGTTTTTCTCTGTGATAAAGATCTTCAAGCAAATAAAAGGACAGTGGGCGAGTGCCCAAACATTCAGCCCCTCAGGGTTCTGGGGCATGCCTAACACCTCAAACTTTAAAGTGTGTACAGCTTACAAACGCCATATGCCCAACAACGACCCGCACAACGCATGCCTTCACTGCCTGGGTGAAGAACATCGCACTGAAAAATACAAGATCTGCTGAAGCTTTAAGCCCCTCACTAGAAAGGACAACATAAGAACGGCCGTACTGGGTCAGACCAAAGGTCCATCTATCCCAGTATCCTGTTTGCCGACAGTGGCCAGCACCAGGTGCCCCAGAGAGGGAGGACCAAAGACCATGATCAAGCGATTTGTCTCCTGCCATCCTTCTCCAGCCTTCCACAAACAGAGGCCAGGGACACCATTTCTATCCCCTAGCTAATAGCTTTTTATGGACCTAACCTCCATCAAATTATCTAGCTTCTCTTTAAACTCTATTATAGTCCTAGCCTTCACAGCCTCCTCTGGCAAGGAGTTCCACAGGTTAACTACACGCTTTGTGAAGAAGAACTTTCTTTTATTAGTTTTAAACCTGCTACCCATTCATTTCATTTGGTGTCCTCTAGTTCTTCTATTATGGGAACTAATAAATAACTTTTCTTTATTCGCCCTCTCCACACCACTCATGATTTTATATACCTCTATCATATCCCCCCTTAGTCTCCTCTTTTCTAAACTGAAGAGTCCCAGTCGTTTTAACCTCACTTCTTATGGGACCCGTTCCAAACCCCTAATCATTTAGTTTCCCTTTTCTGAATCCTTTCCAAGGCCAAAATATCTTTTTTGAGGTGAGGGGACCACATCTGTACTCAAGATGTGGGCGTACCATAATTTTATACAGGGGCAGTAAGATATTCTGGGTCTTATTTTCTATCCCTTTCTTAATAATTCCTAACATCCTATTTGCCTTTTTGACTGCCGCTGCACACTGTGTGGAAGTTTTCAGGGAACTATTCACGATAACTCCCAAGATCTCTTTCCTGATTTGTCATAGCCAAATTATCCCCCATCATACTGTACATATAGTTGGGGTTATTTTTCCCAATGTGCATTACTTTACACTTACCCACATTAAATTTCATTTGCCATTTTGTTGCCCAATCGCTCACTTTGCTGAGATCTTTTTGCAGTCCCTCACAGTCTGCTCTTGTCTTGACTATCCTAAACAGTTTGGTATCATCTGCAAACTTTACCACCTCACTGCTTACCCCTTTCTCCAGATCATTTATGACAAGGAGCATAGGCTCAAACAGCTCCTGATGGAAGTGGCGCTAAATTCCCCCTCAGGTAAAAAAATCAGTTCTAGGAGCCAGCATGGTGCGGAGCACCTCAGCCTTGGTAAGAGATGTGGTGCAGAATCTGAGCATGGCAAAGAACTCTCAGGGCTGCGGGTCCCTGGCACCAAAGAATGCGATGCCAAGTCATAGATCTACCTCACTGGCACTGTGGGGCAGGAGAGAGGACAGAGGTAGATCCCCTCACAGGCCCTGACAAAAACAGGACCATGCCTGGAGAAAATCCCTGGAATGGGAGGTCCAGGATGTGCCCTCGACTCTGGCCCCAGGATTGGAACCATCGAGTCCGGCACGTGACAATCCACCAAGAGACATGAGCCCGGTGCAAATCTTGAACTCCCCTTCGATGCTGGACACCATTGAACCGGACAGAGATCTGATAGAAATCTTGGAGGCCAAGGCGTCCATTGTGCGTGACAAACCGCAGGGACTGCACTGCTCAAGGGGAAAGCCCGCTATGCTCTGTCAACCGTAGTCCACGGAACGGTACCAGCACAGGTCCCTCCTTGGAAGGTCCTCTGTTGCCAGCTCAACGTCCTCCACAGCTGGCACCGAGCGCTAGGCTGGTTCTGAGGGATCGATGCTCAGCACAGAGATCACCCCAGGTTGAGGTCACAATCCAGAAGTCCAAGGCGCCGTGCCCCTTCCAGACCTCCTCGGAACTGGTCTAGGTCCCAGAAAAGGTCTCAGCACCTGGCACTGACCAGGGCATCGACATCGTTGGCACTGCTGTGGTCGTCCCAGTCGGAATCAGTCAGACGTGCTATTGACCAGATCTTGGCACAGCCGGTCTCAATGCAGTACAAGGGACCTGTCAGCATAGTGGCAACAGCATTGGCCACCACTGGCGCAGTGGCCCTTCTGGACCCTCTGGGTGTACCACGAGTCCCAGGGTGCTCCTAGGTCGATGGTGTCAACAAGTCACAGATCCCGTTCTTCTCGGGACAGGCATCACTTGAGAATACTGTCCGCTGCGGAGTCCCATCCACCTAGAGGGGATAGTCCACTTCCTGAGTATAGGGAGCAGCCACCAGGAAAAGGCCATCGAATGGGTCCCAAGGACAGAGCCCAGATACCCACTGAGGACACTGCCCAGACCCAAGCCTATTTGTCATCCTCCCCAGACGAAGCAGTGACAGGCACCTCCATGTCAGGACCTCCGCCCATTGACCGCAGGGCATATCAAGAGCTTTTGCACAGAGTGGCACAGAACATGAATCTCCCAGTAGAGGGCATACAGGAACTCGGGGATCCAATTGTGGACATCCTCTCACATAAAGGGCCGTCTAAGGTGGCAATGCCAATCATAAAGACAGTACAGTCGAATTACACGACCCTATAGCAGACTCTGTTTCCTAGCCCTCCAGCAGCTAAAGGTGTCAAGAGGAAGTACTTTGTCCCACCCAAGGGTTATGAGTTCTTGTATTCTCCCCCTCAGCCCTCGTTGATTGTGGTCTCGGCAGTCAACGAGAGGGGAAAGACAAGGCCAGCATCCCCTGGCCCCCAAATCAAAGGAGGCCAAAAAGACTGACCTGTTTGGCAGAATAGTCTTTTCAGCCAGAGGTCTACAGCTAAGGATTGCAAATCAGCAGGTGATCCTTAGCAGGTATACCTTCAAGTCATGGGATGCCCTAGCAAAGTTTAAGAGGCGGCTGCCCCATGATGACGGGCAGGAGTTTGGTGCCATGCTAGAGGAGAGCCACACAATAAATAGAACTTCCTTACAGGCGGCCTATCCTAGATCTAAGGAACCTCAACCGCTAAATGCAGAAAATGAAGTTCAGGATAATCACCCTAGCCACTATAATTCCCTGTCAGGATCCAGGAGACTGGTTCACTGCCCTTGATGTGAAGGATGCGTATTTCTACATTTTGATCCTTCTTTGTAACAGGTGTTACCTCAGATTTACAATAGTGAGAGAGCACTATCAATTTGTGGTGGTATCCTTTGGCTTTTCCTCGGTCCCTCAACTGTTTACTAAATGTGTGGCAGAGGCCTTCCTCCGAGAGAGTGGAGCGCAGGTATTCCCTTCCGGGATGATTGGCTGATAATAGCACACTCCGGGGCTCAGCTCCTGACCCATGTAGACCTTGCCCTAGAGCTATTCGAAACATTGGGTATTCTCCTCAACAAGGAGAAGTCGGAATTGAGCCCGGTGTAGAGGATAGAATTCATAGGGGCAACATTTAGACCCAGTTGAGGGAAGGCACTGTTTCCAGAGTCAAGGGCCCAAACCATTCAGATCTTCTAGATTCCTTCACACAATATCCAATCTCTACCTCAAGGAAATGCCTCAGGCTTATAGTCCACATGGCATCATGTTATGTGATCAGATATGCATGTCTATACCTAAGACCGCTTCAGGGGTGGCTCGCTTTCGTGTATGTACCCACGATCACTACCTAGGCATGGTAGTATCCATTCTCCAGAAGGTGATAGAGTCCCTCAGGTGGTGGATGGACCTTTGCAATCTGTTGGAGGGAGTGCAGTTTGCGCCTCTGACCCCCACTCTGACTCTGGAAACAGATGCATCGGACATGGGGTGGGGAGCACACTTGGATGATTTCAGGATGCAAGGACCCTGGTCACCCATGGACATGAGTCTTCACATCAATGTGAAGCAACTGAGTAGTCAGATTGGCCTGCTGTGTGTTTCAGACTCAGATGCAGGACTGGTTCATGTTGGTGTGTATGGACAATATGAGCGCTATTTTTTAGGGGGTGCGAGGTCATCTCACGTGCAATGACAGTGCTGGAGTACCTGTTGCACTTGCGATCACAGGAGCTGGCGCTCTCCTCAGTCAAGATTCATTTGCCGGCATTATCTGCCTTTCTCCCAGGTTGCTCTCACCGTTACCTGTTCGGCCACCCTATGGTAAAATGTTTCAGAAAGGGGTTGGACAGGTTGTACCTGTATTGTTGCTCACCTGTACCTGTCGATTCATGAACATGGTACTCAATAAACTTTTGGGTCCACCCTTTGAACCGATGGCTCAGTGTTCTTTGCCACATTTATCAATGAAGGTAGCTTTCCTGATAGCTGCCAGATCAGTGAGACAAGTGTCTGAGTTGAGGGTCCTATCTTCACAACCACTGTAAATAATCTTCCACAACAACTTAGAATATACTCAGCTTTCCTAACAAAAGTGGTATCCCAGTTCCACCTGCCGCAAGGAGTCTTCCTTCCAGTTTTTTATCCTAAACCTCACATTAGCGATAGAGGGTTTTGCACACATTAGATGTGAGGAGGGCTTTAGCATTCTACATAGACTGCACTAGCTCATTTAGGAAATCCACACAGCTGTTCGTGGCAGTTGCAGAATGTACGAGGGGAGTATCCGCATAGTGCATCTCTACCTGGATAGTGAGGTGCATACGCACCTGCTATGAGCTAGCTGGGCTCCCTCCCCTTCCAGCAACAGGTCACTTGACTAGGGCCCAGGCTTGGTCTGCAGCCCTTGTGGAACAGGTCCCTTTGCAGGAAATCTGCAGGGCAGCTGTTTGGTCTTCAGTTCATGCATTCACAGCCCATTACACAATTGATAAATCCTCCAGGGAGGATGCAGCAGTTGGTAGAGCAGTACTGCAGTCTGTAATTCCGAACTCCGACCCCACGTCCATGGGGTAGTAGCTTGGGAGTCACCTGAATTGGAATCAAAGTGAACAATCACTCGAAGAAAAGACATTTACCTATTCTCGTAACTGGTGTTCTTCAAGATGTGTTTTTCACATCCATTCCAATACCCATTCTCCTTCCCCTCTGTCAGAGTAGCTGTCAAGAAGGAACCGAGGGAGGACAGGGTTGGCAGTGGTATGTATGTGCTGATATAGCAGCACCACTCTAGGGGTTTCCACAGCCAACGCTACGGGAGCTGCTGGGGAAAAGTTTCTGACGTTCATTGCATGCGGCTCACATACACCTGAATTGGAATGGACGTGAACAACACATCTCAAAGACCACCAGGTATGAGAACAAGAAACTATCATTTTTACTAGTTCTAATTCATGTAGCAGAAAGTTGCTACACAACTGTAATTAGCACATTTGGAAAGCAAATTAACAACGGATAGTGGTATTCCAATCTGGCTATTATTTGGGACAGAGAAGTTATGCTGAATTATCTCTTTTTGATAACATTACATATGTGAAAAGGAGAACAGAAATATTAGAGCTGCAATTTTATAGAGAAATCACGGCTCTAACTATTGGTATATATTTACAAGAAAGATTAAAATTGGCAAGATTAATGGAAACTGGGGGAGAGATGTTTTTAGTAGTTAGGGTACTAGCCTGTTGATATAGCTGAATTAGTCTTGTTTCTCCTACAGTTTTCCCTTGTGAACTTGGGTAAGTCACTTAATCCTTCTGTATCTGTCATCACTTGTAAAACATATCACTTCCCTATCTCACAGAGGTATTGTGTGGAGAAAGTGTAAAAGATTGTGAAGTTCTCATAGTACAGTGACTGAGGCCTGTAAACTCGTGGACCTCTCACTGGCCAGTAAATCAAATAAAACTACTTACAGCAGCAGAATTACAGTCCATTTGTTCAGGGATGTGTTTGTCACCAAAATAGTCCATACCGGATCAAAACAGAAAAAATAAGTCTAGCTGCTTGGCTCCTCCTAAAGACTATTGTACATAAAGATTCTGTCCCTGACTTCAGGCTTTCTATCTCCAGATAGGTGGATATGGAGAGCCTATTTTTCAGACTTTTCCTTGGGTTTTAGGCCAAGGATCAGGTCACAAACTGGTCCTCAGATAAAAGGCCAAAAGGTAACACAGAAAGACATGCTCACAAAAGGCAGGCATCTGCAGGAGACATAGTAAGGGTATGTCTACATTAGCCCCCTAGTTCGAACTTGGGAGGCTAATGAGGGCGACCGAAATTGTAAATGAAGTGCAGGATTTAAACATCCCGGACTTCATTAGCATGTTCCCGGGCGGTCGCCATTTTGGAAATTGACTAGCCCGGAGTAACTGCCCGCGTCTACATGCAGCAGTGAAACGGGAGTTCGAAGTAAAGCCCTAACTCGAATTAGCTGTTATTTCTCCTGGAATGAGGTTTAACAGCTAATTCGACTTAAGGGCTTTACTTCGAACTCCCGTTTCACTGCTGCATGTAGACGCGGGCAGTTACTCCGGGCTAGTCAATTTCCAAAATGGCGACCGCCCGGGAACATGCTAATGAAGTCCGGGATGTTTAAATCCTGCACTTCATTTACAATTTCGGTCGCCCTCATTAGCCTCCCAAGTTCGAACTAGGGGGCTAATGTAGACATACCCTTACTACGTCTCCTGCAGATGCCTGCCTTTTGTGAGCATGTCTTTCTGTGTTACCTTTTGGCCTTTTATCTGAGGACCAGTTTGTGACCTGATCCTTGGCCTAAAACCCCTCACCAAAGAGATTTTTCTCAGTTGTGGCTAATTCTCTAATTCCACTTTTCTTAAATGTATTAGAGGAGTAGTTGTGTTAATCTGAATCGTCACTTTTCTTAAATGATTTTCCAACCCCATGACAGAGCACATATTTACCTTGATAGAAAAGAATTATCTGTCTCAAATTGAAAAATAACACATGCAAGCAAGATCCAGGGGTAAATTATTGAAAACTTCACTGTTTTTATTTTCAGGCAGAGAAGGCCAGTCTGGTACATTTCTTGGATTTCCTGTCACTTATCTTGCTTGCGGTTATTTGGGCAGTCTGTCCCAGAGATAGTTTGGCAATTGTAGGTCAGTGGATCCAGAGTAAGTTGCAAGAGGTAAGGCAGAGGCTGTGACATTGTTGTACTTGCTACATTTATTTAACATCTGGTTCAGAATGCAAAACACTGTGACACTTTTGCTATAAATGCAGGTGAATATACTTTCTACTATTATTATTCAGGTATGTTGTCATTTCTTAGTCATTTGGAAAGCACTGCAGACCAGGGGGACGGGGGGGGACGGGGGGCAAAGCAGAGCCAAGCCGCGGAGCGTGCGATCAGCTGACAGCCCAGACGCGTCTGGGCTGTCAGCTGATCGCACGCTCCGCGGCTTGGCTCTGCTTTGCCCCCCGTCCCCCCCCGTCCCCCCGGTCTGCATATTTTTCCAATGTGCATTATTTTTTCCACATTATGATGAAGCTACAATGTCTCTTCCACATTACCTTTTTTGTGTGCACACAATATAAATCCAAAATTCCAAACTCTACACACTTAAAAATTTTACTTGAATTTTTCCCTAAAACAGAAATTATCCTATAATTAGATCCTATAACTAGTGTTTATAAACAATACAATGTCAAAAGGGTTATACTACGAAATTAGCATAATTGAGACTATACTAAAAAGGTACTCCCCTCCCTTCTAATACTTCTTGATAATATAACTTTTAAAATATGACTATCTAAAAAAAAAATCTTACTTTGGTACAGAATAGCATTAGTTAAGAAATGTTCTGTACACTGAAGGAAGTTAATGAGTTTAAGTCCGCCCCTGCCCCGGGCTTCCTGGAATCAGCCGCTGATCAGTTTCAGCAGCAGCTGACTTGGGGATGCCTGGGGTTCTTAAGTTGAATCTGTATGTAAGTCAGAACTGGCATCCAGATTCAGCCACTGTTGAAACTGATTAGTTTCAGCAGCGGCTGAATCTGGACGCCAGTTCCGACTTACATACAGATTCAACTTAAGAACAAACCTACAGACCCTATCTTGTACGTAACTCGGGGACTGCCTGTATACCAAAACATGAGAAAAATGTTAAGAGCAACTGGTATTGTGACATGGACTTATTAGATTGAATTGTGCCTTAGATCAAGAATGTAAACTAGGTTTCTGCTGGACCCCTACATCTGTAGTTCTCTGTCCTAACTTTCCCAGGGCCAATTTTTTATACTTGTACTGCAAAAATTTCTCCTTCAGTGGTAAAGGATCTCTTAACCTACCAATAACCTCAGGATGTGTCCAGTTCTGACTCTTGGATTAAGTAAAATGAAACTTATTCAACATGGAATATGGAGAGAGAATCAACTGAGATAAAAGTAATTATAAAATTGTATTCCACAATCTAAGGCTACTTCAAAACTAGTTGGGTAAGGAGAATTTGTGCTTTCAACAGTCTTTCATCCTGGGTTCATCCATGCCCTTGTTATATACCTACTGCTCTCTCAGCGTTTAGCGGTCATACATACCAGAAGTCCCTCCCCTCTTCTCCTTCAAATGTGTGTCTCTGCTTTCTCCACATGCTACTTTGTTTTTCTGGCTCACCCTTCTTGTCCATGTCAATCTCCCTCCTTCTTGTGTGAGTTATTTTAGTCTCCTTGCGTGACCAGTTTAAGCTGCCTTGTGTACCTCCCTAGAGACATTGTCTCCTCCTTACTATAATTATTTGTGTGATCATGTTGCCTAGGAGCCCAATTTACAGGTCAGGGCTCCATTCTGTTAATTGCAAAAGAACATCTCTATCATCTACGCTTATGGTCTAAGTATCTATCACTGTGAACAAGTTCCATTTATTCTTCTAATTTATTCTGCTCCCTCTGTCTTCTGTATACAGCAGATGGGCACGATTTTGTTTGCTTTTATACCAGAAGTTGTTCTAATTGATTTTCATTTAAAGAATTTCTTACTAAAGAGCAGGCAATTTTATGGTAATCTGGGCTTTACCCTACATAACTATATTAGTATGCAGAAATAGAAGAGACTTCCTCCCCCCACTCTTTAACCTAATATATATGATTTGTATTTCCTGAGAAAACTGAGAATTGTGGAAACTTTTAAGGTGTATGGGACTTTCTCGTCCTCAATACACACAGCCATTTAAGTACTGGAATAAATTGCCTAGAAAGGTTGTGGAATCTCCATCATTGGCGATTAAGAGCTGGTTAGACAAACACCCATCAAGGATGGTCTAGATCAGAAGTCTCAAACTCCTGGCCCATGGGCTACTCCTGGTGATTGTGTAATCCTGCCTGGGACTCTTGGCAGGCCGGGGGGAGAGCTGTCTATTACTGTCCCCAAGCCCTGTCTCTTTTTGCCATATCCCTACTTTCTCCCCTCAGGGTACCACATCCCCCCAAGTATATGGCTTTTGGGGTCACTGTGGCGGCCTTGTGCCATGTGGCATCAGCAATTGCGCATCTCTGGAACTGTCCACGGTGGCAGTAGCTGTGGGGGAAGCAGAGCACAGCAAAGCAAGTGCTCCCATGGGCCAGGAGTTTGAGACCCGTGGTCTAGATAGTGCTTTGTCTTGCCATAAGTGCAAGGGACTAGACTACTAGAGGGCCCTTCCAGTTTTATGATTGTCTGTGTAAATCCCATGGTTCTCAGTCATTGCCTCATTTCTCGTGGTTGTGAAATCTTATTTCATTCCAACATGACCACAAGTTAAAAACAACAACAACCAAGTCCTCTATCAGTAGCAGATGAATACCTGCAGCCTATTAAATGTCCTGAGGCCTATCCAGCTAGCTGCTCCATGTGGCAATAGCGGGAGTTTGAGGCAGAAGCAGAAAAGAAAGTTTCTTGCTTTCTTAACAAGGTTTCCTATCCTACTTGAACTTTCCTAAAATTATGGAGTTATGGCCTCAATCCTTCTTAAGTATAGATACCAATTTTGCAGGGCAGGCACTTAAGAAATGCCTGTACATTAAGCAAGCTATGATAATACCCTTGACAACGAAGTACCGTCAACATGTCCAGAAATATTCAGGGGATAGTAAAGGATTAGTGAAGATATGTATAGTGTCATGCATCTCTTTTGTTCTATGCAACAGTCATTTTAGAAACCAAGCATTCAGAATCTGTTAAAGTTTCTGCAAGTGATTAAGGTAACTTTTGGGCCCCTCACTCTACTATGTTTAGGTAAAGAGTAATCAAATTGCTTATTTTTCAGAGTCTTACAGCTTTTTTTTTTTTTTTTTTGAGCTGCAAGATAACCTTGATATTCAGAAGCCTGTGACTAAAAGTTGCAGTAAAATCACTAAAGCAAAGAATAACAAGTGACGTTGATGAATAGATGGAAAACTGCCTGTTGGTAGAGCTTTGCTTTACTTTTGCTGCATGTGATCATCTTGCACATTTCTCAGACATAAAATAGAAACTGGGACTGTCATAATGGCCCACACAGTTAATACGTCTAGTTTATTATCCACCCTCTTCTGCTACTGGTGATTCAGAGTGGTGTGAAAGACCACACCTAGAACAATCTCTTGTCCTCTTAATGATGGTGTGCACTTCTCTGGACCTGGGACTAAGTGGAAATATATGTTCCCTGTACGTTTTTGTCTTCCCTGTACGTTTTTGTCTCAAGTTTTCTGTGTTACCTATCATTGTGATATCTGAACTCTGTAAGAAATTCTTCTGCTTTGGAACTGAACTGTCCTCTCCTTCATTGTAAAACAAGGAATTTGCTTTGTTTTACTTGAAAAGGATTAGCTTGGGTTACTTTATATTATTTTTTCCAGAAACCGTCACAGAAACTTCAATCTACATATGTATTAAACCCATATCTCGCTTTAAAGTTGGAATTTCCTAATTGATACTCGGCCCACAGAGTGATGATGTAATGCCCATAGAACAAGAGCAAAGTTCACTCAAAACAGAAACCTGCTTTAATAGGGCATGTAAATCTTTACTATAACTTGTTTTACTAGCATATGACTACCTACATCTTCCATTAGGTGTATGTAGAAGACTGGCAGTTGTATAACTGGGTCTTTGCCTTGCAGTGTTGTATCTCTTTGTGCAGTGTTGTAGCTCTAGGGTTAATGGAGTGGGAGCAGGCCAGAAGAATATCTTAATCTCTTGGATTTCTCAAGGATTATTACTCCCTGTGTTGGAAGTGTAATCATGAAGGAGGAGTGATCTTTTGTTGTTTATAGTTGTTCTGGAGATTGTGGACTGTCTTGTTTTACCATGCCATACATATTTGCCTTCAGGTTGGTTATACAAGGCTTAAAGACACAGCCAATTTAAAAAATCCCACTTCTCTATGACATTTTTACCTACTAAGGCTACAAGCAAAATTTAAAATGACATTCATTTAAAGACAAGATAAAAGTTTGTCTCCTATGTGTGCATAATCAGTTTATTATTTTTCTTTTTAACTCGGTAAGGCTTTTTAACCTAGCTATAATGGAGATAAAACACTTTTTTAAATAGACAAATGTACTTGTAAATTGACGGAGTGGTTGTCAGTTTTACCCATGATAGGGAACCAGTAAAAGAAAACTGTTGGATTGTGTACTCACGTGTCAGAGTTAGGAATGTTAAAATGTGTTTATTTAGATAAATGTGTATCGCTGAAAACTGGAGCAGTTACACATTTACGCATGTGGGATGGGGGAAGATGGCTCCCCCTTCTCTCTCTCCTCCCCCCCCTTTCCCCTGCTGTTGCCTCTGCTCATTGGTTAATCATGTAGATGTTTACACTTTCACATCCCTAGTCAGAGTGTGTTGACATTTGTAGCACTTCAGTTGTTGATGAGAGTAGCACCTGGAGGGCAGCTCTCCTGGGAAGGGGAAGGTGCAGGTCATTCTGGGTCCCTGCACAGTCCTGTCTCCACAGACACTGATCAGCTCCAGTAGCTCAGCATTGCTGTAAGTGGGGGATCATTTGCTCTGTGGCGCAGGCATTGTCACCTGGCCAAATAAGTAAGCACTTGTCCAGAAAATAGGAAGGGGAGTTTCAAAGTTACCGAGTTTTATATGGGAAGGGGTAAAGGGGATGTCTGTCTTTTTTGGTATCAAAGCAGCAGAGGTATTGCCTAGAGGGGTCACTTAGGCAATGTGAGATCCTGTAGAAGCTAAAAGGCAGTAGGATCATATCTTCACTTGCACAACACCACAAAAGCATCACTGGTGAGAACTCTACACCTCTCAGGGAGGTGGTTTTCTTTTTGTGGCGAATCTTCTGCAAAAAGACAGTGGCAAGTGTAGATGCTTCCATGATTTTTGTGCAAAAAAGGGACTTTTTCTGCTTCAAATAGCAAGTGCTGGCCTGGGAGGGACAGCTGGAGGTCGGGCCTGGCCCCTGGAGCCTCATCTCCCTGCTGGACCAGCTGCAGGAGGCCTCTCACTCCACATACACACCAGCTATGGGCTGAGGTAGGAAGGGGGCCACTGCATGCCAGGGCTCGTTTCTGATGCCTCCCCCCGCTCTACTTGGACCAGGTGATGCTCTGAAGTATCCCCTCTTCCCCCGCCCTTTGCTGCCTCTATCTGATAGAGATAGCAAGGGTGTGTGGGGGGGGAAGAGGGGAAATCGACTAGTGGATTTGACTATCCAATAAGCATTTACTTATTGCAGGGCTACACAACATGTGGCCCGTGAGCCACATGCAGCCCGTGGCCTATTTGTTTGCAGTTCAAGGTGCAGTTTGGGTTTACACAGGGCTCAACACGCAGCCTGCAGGTAGGATCCTTTGAACATGACCTCCGCTGGGAACACGTTCCACAGCGCCGAGGCATCTGCCAGGCTGGATGAGCATTGAAAGATGCAGGTGGACGGGCTGGCTGGAACAGATGGGTACAGGGTGTTCGTGTTTCTAGCCCCCAGGGAGGAGGTGCCGGGGCAGTGTGGGAAGTGCCTTGTATTCATGCCCGTCAGTGTGAAAGAAGCTATTTGCGTATATATTTGCATATATATTTCCATGTATACGCAATCACATTTATGTTGCAGCACTCAACATGTGCTGTGAGTATCACTGGCCTCCGTGGCTTCCAAAGTTGAATAGTCCTGGCTTATTGGATAGTCGACTAGTCTTTAACATCCTTACTCTGCAGTGTAGCATCCGCTGTGCTCACTAGCTTCAGTGGACACTCTGTAGTATTGCGTCCCTCCTCTCTGACCTCTCCCTTTCCGTGTCCTGGAAAACATTCCCATTTCAGGCACTTCCCTTTTTCCTGGCACATCCAAAACCTGACCTTACTTTAAGATGAAGCTGCATATCGAATTTGGTGGTCCTAGCTCTTACTGTTTAGAAGTTCTTGAACAATGGACTCACTGACCGATATATATATTAATGCATGTCCTCCATCTTTTCTAATGAGCAGGTTAGAAAAATATACAGAATGTTAAAGACTACATAAATTGGTGAAAACAAGATTTATGAATCAGAGCTTTGACATGTTTCTCTTCCAGCTTATATTTGATAGGCCATATAACAGGACATTGGAAATTGAAGCTGACAAAGTTGGACTTCAGTTTGCTGCGAAGGTAAATAAAATTGATTTTTACTAACCAAATATTTCTTCTATTTAATTATTTGAAACACTTACTACAATAACAATTGATGGACAGGTAAACTTTAATTTTGCAATCATGGGATCACCCAGGTTTTCATCAAATAGGTATTTAATGACATTAAAGGAAAACATAATTGTTTACTATTCAGCTGGGAAATAAAAGGGCATTTTGTCTAAAAGTATAGTAAAATTGAAGTTGTTAAAACTGGGTGTCACTCTTAAATAAAGCTAAGAAGTTCACAATCGTAGTTAAAATACATGGAAATGTATCTGGCAATATAGATTACAAACGTAGTCCTTTAGCTTTTAATACATTTCACTTAGTTTCTATTACAAGAATAATTGAAGATTGGTAAAGGAATCAGTAATGCACTTGAGTTTCAGTATATCATTATCAGAGTAGATACTATAAATAAGAAAGCGTGTTTTAAATTTTTCTGTATTGTGATTGATTGTATTAACTAGAGATATGATAGGTAGTAATTATGGTGTATATAATGCATTCTGACTTAAAATTCAGACCAGGTTTTTATTTGGTTTCAAGATTTAAAATAAGCATAAAATAAAGCATGTTGTTTCAATAGTGCTAGTTTATTTATAAATTACTTTTAATATATCCGCTGCTTAATATGCCCAAGCGATAGGTTTCATGCTTCTATGTGGAATTTAAATCATGTAGCTCCTTTTTAATACAAGACTTTAATGCTTTGTGTAAAGTACTTAGTTTCTTATTTCATTATCTCACTACCTATTCACCCTATTATCCTTAGACTGATTTAGTTAACAAATTAAACAAATTAAGCAAGACCTTTCAGCTTTATCTATCCCATTATGGTGTTTTTGTAACTAAGTTGGATAACTATGTGAACAGTGCCATCTAGTGCATAATTAGAGAATTTTGCTTTTTGCAGTTGGACCTTTTTGAAGCTTCTGTCATTTTAAGTTTAAATGTTTATTTCTTGTAGTTGAAATTTCACTTAGAACACAAAGGAAAGAGTCTGACCATTAATCAGTCTCTAATGAAAATTCTAATATTCCAAATCTTTGAGCAGTTTACTGCAAACTCTTATTTCTGACATCTTTGAAAGCAAGATGCTATATAGTAAGTTCAAATATTAGTAAAACAAAGATCCATAACACTTTCTTTTATAGAGGAGGAAAACTGGCACATGTAGGTTAAAGCAGTCTTCCCAAAACAGTATAGCAAGTATGTGCCTGTCATAAGTCGAATCCATTTGAAATCCCACTTTTGTTTTTGAACTACTAATATATGCTTCCATGTACACAAACACCTAATAAAGAAAACAGAGTCATACAGTTAGGTTGCCAGTTACATTTAGTCCCTCTGATAGTCACCCTCATGATCAATTTTCCTCTGAGCTTTTCTTTTTAACACTAACCTTAGAAAAAATGTATAGGGTAATGTCCCTATCACAGCAGCAGAAGTGTGTGTGTGTATTTCATTATTTGTGTGTTTGTATACATAAACACATACATATACACTTCTAATATTACATGTGATTATGGTCTCCAGAGAATAGTTACTTAATTAAAGAGCTTGTTACCTTGCCCGACCACTAATACATCTTTAACAAAAATATGAATATTCAAAATCTTGAGCAGTTTGATGCAAACATTTATTTAAAAATAAAATAAAAATGGAGATGCTGATTTATTCCTTTTTTCACATGAATGTGTAGCAGAGAAATGCAAGTGGAGTTTGTGATGTAGGATTTCAGTCTCAGATAAGTGACATTGAATAATAAATGTCTTAGACCTGCTAGTGTTCCATTCTTATTTCATATCCAGATGGGGAGATGAAGTTCCTAATTTTTGAGCTGTATATAGCATTAGTTTTTACTCTGAGCAGGTTACATGAGATCATATCCTCATAGAATTTCAGCATAGTGATTGAAAAACAGATTATTTGTAGATAATATACTAACCACATCTGTATTTACATTTAGACACCTGAAAATATTTATAGTATGGATGAGCTCCAGATTTGCTAGATGCCATACAAACATACGAGGAAATGGTCCCTGTTCCAAGGACCTTCAAATTTAAAAGACAAAAATGCAGAAGGGGACGAGGGTGAGGGAAGTGGTACAGGATTACATACATGCATACGAGCAGGGTGGGGGGAAAAATCTGTTGTAAAATACAAGACCCAAACAAAACAAGTTTTATTGTTGTGAGTTTTAAGAGTGACTTTTATAACTACTTCATGGCCTTCACACTCAATGAGAAATTTGGTCATCCCAAATTCATTCTAATAATAACCCTATGCTGAATCCCACACATTATCACATACTGTGTTATCATGGTCTGCTGAGTCATGTTTATTTAGTTTTCTACAGCCTTTTACAAAACACTATTATTAACAGGCTTCATAACCTTAGCATTTTGTTCTCGCTTAATAAGCCTTGTCTGACTCTCTCTCCCCTGGTACCTCTGTCCTCGTAGCTCATATTGGGACTAGAGCACTTTTTTGGCATTATCTTTATGCGGTCCAGTGGATGCTTGTGGTCCTCTTAAAACTTCAATGCTCAGTGTTTCTCTGAAGTAGAGAATGGCCTAGGAATAAGGGGAAAGCGGGAATAGCTGAAGTAATCACCCTTTCCTTTTTCCAGCTAGCATCTCAACAACACTGTTATAAGCACCACTCACCTGCTGTCATACTTCCCAAGATAAATTCTTGCCATGACCTCAATTTACTGTCCTTTGGTTGCTTTAAAGGTCCCAGGTGGAGAAAAATGAGAACCCCTAAATTAATAAAAATACTGAAGTATCTACAATATTACTATAGAAAACACTTTAAATACTGAATTTTACTATGAATAGTTAGCTAGCTAAGACAATTGTCACTTTCTGTTTTAGGACCATCCCTCCATATAGCACATTCAGATATGATTTTCTAGTATGTATATTTACTCTCCAAGACATTTCAATGAACTGTGCCCCAAATTTGTAGGTAGTAAGACCTAAGACTGCACATAAACTTAAGGTTTTTCATCAGGTTTTTCATTATGATTGAAGTTCTTAGGCATTGTGATATCACAATCGAAATAATACATTTCCTTGCTGTAACTTTTTGTGGAGGTGTTTTTGGTAATTCTGTTTTTTGTCCCTTTTATATTGCAACTGTTATCATAGTTCTTGCATTGTTGTCCTACTGCTGTGTCAAGTATTCCCAAGGTCAGGTGTTTAAACCAGATGGCCTTCCTTTCACTAACATAATTCTTGTCCTCCTTACACATGTGCACACATGCTCCCTGTTTCATTTACAGTGTTGTCACTTGCTTTCGCTTCTGTTTCTCATAAAGTCATTACAAAAACCAAAATATTTCCAATTTTACAGAAAAATAATCCCTTCATTTTCCATAGTACATGGCATTAATCTGTCTCTAAAGCATGAAAGTTTACTTTGCTGCCACTTGTGCAGTTTGCTGTATATCAGAGTATATGACAAATTATGTCACTGATGCAGCAATGGCTCTGCTTATTGAGGCATTTTAAATTGGCCCAATCATAATGGGAGACAGACATCAGCCCCTTAAGTTATAAACAACTCAGGCTGGCATCTAGATTGCTGTGAGATACGTGGCTGTTTTGGGTTGCTTTTTTTTTACTTATTTGGTTGATGAATCTTATGCTTCTGCACCACATCAGTGACATAAAAATAGCTTCCAAATATTGTGTGGTGGGGAATAAAAACATAATTAGCATAGTCATGTTTTATATGGCAGGTTACCTGTAGACCAGAGTTATTCCTATTGTCACAAGCGCAACAAAATATTTTCTGAGTAGAAGGTCGAAAAATTAGGCCTTCTCTCTGCAAATTTGTGTAAGTATGTGAGGGTGATGAATTTTGTTTTAATTTATCAGAAACAGCTCAGTACTTTTTTTCTTTTTGTAACAGTTCTTACGTATAACACCTCAGCAGGTATAACTTCTTTTTCTGATTAACCATTTCTCTGTCTGGTTCCCTTTTCATTAACTCTGTATTTTAGGAGTAGTTCTATCAAAGTCAGTGAGTTACACGGGTATGAGTGAAGTACTGGACCCATCATGTCCTGGAAGTGCACTAATCTTCAGTCCTGAGAGACTTATCTCATCTTTTCTGTAATTGTGGTGTGGGGTTTTTTTTTTTGGGGGGGTGGTTAACATCAGTGGTGAATCTGGCTCACTAAGTATGACCTGATATTCCCACCTGTCCCATTTCCTGACTGGAGTGAAATAGTTTAAAAGGAAAAACATTAGTTTTAATATTTGTTGTAGTCTATGGACCATAATTGTACCATAGAATCTTGATTGTCACCCCATCTCAAAGAGACACTGTAGTACAATTGGAGAAAGTATAGGAAAGAGCAACAAAAATGATTAGACATATGAAATAATTTCTGTAGGAGGAACGTTTAAAGACTGAGCCTGTTCCACCTGGAAAAGAGATGTCTAAGATGGGATATGATAGAGGTCTATAAAATATTGACTGTTGTGAAGAAATTTAATAAGGAAATGTAATGTGAATGAATAAACAAGAAACGGGGTCACCAAATGAAATCAATAGATAGCTTTAAAACAAAGGAAAGTACTTCACATAAAGAGTTTCACAGGTTGACTGTTGCCAGGGTTTTTGTGAAGACCAAAACTATAAGAGGATTCAGAAAAGAACTAGTTTAAGTTCATGGAGGATAGGTCCATCAGTTGCTATTGGCCAGTATGGGCCTTATGAACCCACTCTTATGCATTGGGTGTCCCTAGCCTTTGTTTGCTGAAAGCTGGGAATGGATAACAGGAGGATGAATGGCTTGATCATTGCCTGTTCTGTTCATTCTCTTTGAAGTATCTGGTATTGGCCACTATTGGAAGACAGGATACTGATCTAAATGGTCCATTGATCTGACCTAGTATGTCCATTCATATGTTTGTTATGCTCATATGAGGAATGCAGTCAAAGAAACTTTAGAGAATTCTAATTTTAAAATGTTTGAGAATTACAGTTCAATGACGTTTCCTTTTTATTTTTAGGCTTGTGTGGATGTAAGAGCAAGCACTGTGTTTTGGCAGCAGATGGAATTAGCTGAGACCATTCAAGGGCAGCGTAAATTACCAGAATGGCTTTCCACACACCCTTCTCATGAAAACAGAGCTGAATGCTTGGACCGGCTTATACCAGAGGTGAGCAGAGAGTGTTGAGAGAAGTGTCTCTCTTCCCCACCTGTCCCATAAAAAGTTATTAGGGTGATAGTTTAGTGTTGATTTATGAACTAATTTCGTAGCGTCACATTTATCTTGCCCTTTTTCCTTGTAGAAACATTCCATTATAAAATAGTAACCTACTCAGGACTTTATTATATGAAGAAAATTTAAAACATCATAGGTAAAGTGTAATTACACTGTATGCTTTAAGCTATCTTTAGATGAAATGTACACTGTGATTAAGATGTAAGATTTTTGTTTTGTTAATGGCTTTTCCCTTTAATAAATACAGGTTTGATAAAGTAACTTAGGTATTCTGTGACCTCTTGTACCTCTGCTGGAAACCAGAGGCCACATTGAGACACTAAGGCTTTCTGTACGCTATGGACTTTACAACGGCACAGCTGTTTTTCTGCAGCTCTATAAGGTTTCCTTTGTAACCCGTCTATGACATCAGAAGAGTGCTCTCCTGCTAGCATAATTAAACCTACCACTAATGAGTGATGGTGGCTATGTCAGTGGGAGAGGTGTCCCACCAGGATAGCAGTGTCCACACTGACATTTTTCTCAGTGAAACCTTGTTGGTTGGGGATGTGGGTTTTTGTATAACCCTGCCCAATAAAAGTTGTATTGACAAAAGTGCTGGTGTAGACTAAGGGTATGTCTAGACTACATGCCTCTGTCGCCAGAGGCGTGTAGATTAGGTTACCGGCATAGGAAAATGAAGCAGCGATTTAAATAATCGCCGCTTTATTTAAATTTACATGGCTGCTGTGCTGAGCCAACAAACAGCTGATCAGCTGTTTGTCGGCTCAGCGCGATAGTTTGGACGCGCGGGTGGCGACATCAAAGGTATTTGTCGACCACAAAGGTAAACCTCATCCCAGGAGTCATACCTGGGTGGTCGACAAATACCTTTGATGTCGACACCCGCGCATCCAGACTATCGCACTGAGCTGACAAACAGCTGATCAGCTGTTTGTCGGCTCAGCGCGGCAGCCATGTAAATTTAAATGAAGCAACGATTATTTAAATCGCCACTTCATTTTCCTATGTCTGGTAGCCTAATCTACATGCCTCTGGCGACAGAGGCATGTAGTCTAGACATACCCTAAGTCTTAAGTGCTCTTGTTTCCACTTCATTTAGTAACAAGCCCTAGGACCTAGGTCAGAGGTTGGCAACCTTTCAGAAGTGGCATGCCAGTATTTAACTTTATTCACTTCTATTTATGGATTTGTGTGCCGGGGGCGGGAGGAAGAGTCATCGCAGGCTGGATAGGGTGACCATATTTTCTGAACCAGATGCAGCTAGGGAGAAAGATTAAGCATTTTGACTAATTTAAATTAAACCTATTTACTTTCTCATGTTAGTTTATCAAATTTCACTTTAAAGAAAGTAAAATATTAATTTAGGTACAACACAAAAGGTTTCAATGTTTTCTTTATTTAGAGAAGGGACAGGGAACTTTTTTGGGGTTGGGGGCCACAGAAAAATCAATTGGGGACCACACAAGTTAGAAGGGAAAATACTCCTCCAAAAACCCCCAACCCTCACTGATGTGGCCCCCCGCTGAAACCCCTCACTCCTCTGGCACTCCAGCCTCATGGGATGAGGAGAAGGAACATAAGAACATACATACTGGCTCAGCTAAAAGGTCCATCTAGCCCAGTATCCTGTCTGCTGGCAGTGGCTAATGCCAGATGCCCCAGAGGGAGAGAACATAGCAGGTAATCATCACATGATCCCTCTCCTGTCATCCATTTCCAGTCAGAAAGAGGCTAGGGAAACCATTCCTACCCATCCTCATTAATAGCAATTGATGGACCTAACCTCCATGAATCTATCGAGCTCTTTTTTGAACCCTGTTAAAGTCCTAGTCTTCACAACATCTGGCAAGGAATTCCACAGATTTGATTGTGCACTGAGTGAAGAAAAACTTCATTTTGTTTGTTTTAAAACTGCTGCCGATTAATTTTATTTGGTGACCCCTAGTTCTTACATTATGGAAGCAAGTACATAAGTTTTCCTTATTCACTTTTTCCAAGCCAGTCATTATTTTATAAACCTCACTCATATCCCCCCTTAGTCTCCTCTTTTCTAAGATGAAAAGTCCAAGTCTTTTTAATCTTTGTATGGGATCCATTCCAAACTTCTCCTCATTTTTGCCCTTTTTTGAACCTTTTCCAGTGCCAATATATCTTTTTTGAGATGAAATGACCACATTTTATGCAGTAGTCAAGATGTGGCCGTACCATGGTTTTACATAGAGGCAATAAGAGATTCTCTGTCTTATTTTTATCCCTTTTTTAATGATTCCTAACATTCTATTTGCTTTTTTGACTACCACTGCACACTGAGTGGATGTTTTCAGAGAACTATCCACAGTGACTCCAAGATCTCTCTCTTGAGGAGTAGTACCTAAATTAGTCCCCATCATATTGGGATTATTTTTTCCAATGTGCACTACTTTACATTTACCAACATTAAATTTCATTTGCTATTTTGTTGCCCAATCACTTAATTTGGTGAGATCTTTTTTAAGTTCTTCACAGTCTGCTTTGGTCTTAACTACCTTGAGCAGTTTAGTATCGTCTGCAAACTTTCTCCAGATCATAAATAAGTTGGATAGAATTAGTCCTGGGCTGAACCTTGGGGGGCACCACTAGTTACCTCTCTCCATTCTGAAAACTTACCATTTACTTGTACCCTTTGTTTCCTATCTTTTAACCAGTTCTCAAGCCGTTAAAGGATCTTCCCTCTTATCCCATGAGAACTGTACTTAAGAGCATTTGGTGAGGGACCTTATCAAAGGCTTTCTGGAAATCTAAGTATACTGTATCTACTGGATCCCCCTTGTCCACATGTTTGTTGACCCGCTCAAAGAACTCTAGCAGATTAGTAAGGCATGATTTATCTTTACAGAAACCATGATGATTTCCCCCAACAAGTTATGTTCATCTATGTGTCTGACAATTTTATTCTTTACTATAGTTTCAACTAATTTGCCTGGTACCGACATTAGGCTTACCGGTCTGTAGTTGCTAGCATCACCTCTAGAGTCCTTTTTAAATATTGGCATCACGTTAGCTATACTCCAGTCACTAGGTATGGAAGCTTATTTAAAGGATAGGTTACAAACCACAGTTAATAGTTCTGCAATTTCACGTTTGAGTTCTTTCACAACTCTTGGGTGAATACCATCTGGTCCCGGTGACTTGTTACTGTTAAATTTATCAATTTGTTCCAAAACCTCCTCTAATGACACCTCAATCTGGGACAATTCCTCAGATTTATCACCTAAAAAGTGGCTCGGGGTTGGGAATCTCCCTAACATCCTCAGCCATGAAGACAGAAGCAAAGAATTCATTTAGCTTTTCCGCAATGACCCTGAAAGAACTCTAGCAGATTAGTAAGGCATGATTTATCTTTACAGAAACCATGATGATTTCCCCCAACAAGTTATGTTCATCTATGTGTCTGACAATTTTATTCTTTACTATAGTTTCAACTAATTTGCCTGGTACCGACATTAGGCTTACCGGTCTGTAGTTGCTAGCATCACCTCTAGAGTCCTTTTTAAATATTGGCATCACGTTAGCTATACTCCAGTCACTAGGTATGGAAGCTTATTTAAAGGATAGGTTACAAACCACAGTTAATAGTTCTGCAATTTCACGTTTGAGTTCTTTCACAACTCTTGGGTGAATACCATCTGGTCCCGGTGACTTGTTACTGTTAAATTTATCAATTTGTTCCAAAACCTCCTCTAATGACACCTCAATCTGGGACAATTCCTCAGATTTATCACCTAAAAAGTGGCTCGGGGTTGGGAATCTCCCTAACATCCTCAGCCATGAAGACAGAAGCAAAGAATTCATTTAGCTTTTCCGCAATGACCCTGTTGTCTTTGAGTGCTCTTTTAGCATCTCGATTATCCATGGGCCCCACTGGTTGTTTAGCAGATTTCCTGCTTCTGATGTACTTAAAAAACATTTTGTTATTTTTGAGTTTTTGGCTAGCTTTTCTTCAAACTCCTTTTAGGCTTTTCTTGTATTTTTACACTTAATTTGACAAAGCTTATGCTCTTTTCTATTTTCCTTACTAGGATTTGACTTCCACTTTTTAAAAGATGTCTTTTTATCTCTCACTGCTTCTTTTACTTGGTCGTTAAAACACGGCAGCACTTTTTTTGTTTTCTTACTGTGTTTTTTAATTTGGGATATACATTTAAGTTGGGCCTCTATTATGGTGTCTTTGAAAAGTTTCCATGCAGCTTGCAGGGATTTTACTTTTGTCACTGTACATTTAATTTCTATTTGACTAACCTCCTAATTTTTGTGTAGTTCCCCTTTTCTAAAATTAAATGCTCCACCGAGTTTTGCCTTGGACCTGGTTGCCCACTGGCAAAATGCTCAGAGTGTCACCTATGTTCTTTGGCAGAGGGGTGGAGGAGGTAGGGAGGGAGGCTGTTGTTGCTGTGCCGTGATTGCGTAAGCCTGTCCCATCCAGGGGAAGGGGAAGGGAAATGGAAATGCACAGAGCCGGGGTGGGGGAGTGGCTAGTGTTCCCTGCATGCCAGATCTGGCGAGGAAGCTTCTGGGCAAGTGCAAATCCTCTTGCATGCAATTTACGGCACTTATGCCATAGGTTGCCAACCTCTGACCTAGGTTATCACACAGAATAAGCCATGCTTTCCCATTTTCTCTTGATGAAGTGGGCATGAACAACTTTTCCTATGTGGGATATCAGATCCTCAGTAAAAGATTTCTTAATATCCATTGTAATCATGGGTCTCTGTAAAAAAAAAACAACAAATGGTCTGGTAGCACTTTATAGACTAACAAAACATGTAGATGGTATCATGAGCTTTCGTGGACACAACCCACTTCTTCAGATGACCAGGCTATAGATTTTGCAGCTTGCTTTTTTTTTCTTTAGCTGTTCTGCATCCCAAAACAAGTGATTGCTGTGTACTTTG